GTCATGATCTGGGGGTCCACAGCTTCAGAGCAGCCTGGCTCTTGCAGGATCAGTCCTGAAAGCCCTTAATTAAAATCTTAATTGCTGCAGACAGTGGCTCATTACAGAGAAATACAGCAGAGATTAGACACAATGGACTTAATCCATAAATGGATTAGCACATGAGACCTCATTTAACACTAAGCCATGTATGTTGGTGAAAAGTCAGATTTGGGTTTTCCCCAACCCAGATGTGTTTTGGAGACCAGGCTTTTTCTGAATCTGTTGGAGTGCCAGCGAAGGGGAATCGTGGCACAAAAAGCAGAACTTTGTGCTCTGGGGCATGGCTTTTGTTTTAATTCCCGTATCACTAACATACAGGACTGAGAGATCCAAAGAAGGTAACTGACTTAGTTGCAGTCAAATTTATCTTCCTGCCAGAAAAGCTTTGCCTCATTTGCCATTTCTTTTGTCTTGGTATCTTTGCTGTTCTCCTGTTCTGTTAACCTTGCTCACCCTGATTGAGGGTCCATGTGTCTCTGCTGTGGTTATTCATGGACCCATCTAGATCTCCAGCACTGTGTCTGGCTTTCCCTCAGCCTGCTTTGCTCTGGGCCCTGCACACCCAAGGCCCTCAGCCACTCTCACACTCCTTGCCCTGCAGAGCCTCACCACCATGACAGCCCTCCTTCGGGCGCTGTGTGACAGCTTTATGTCCGTATTTGTGGCACCCAGCCTGCACCCGGTGCTGGAGGTGAGGCTGCCCAGCACAGAGGGGACAAGCCCTCCCCTCGCTGGATGGCAGTGCTGGGCCTGACGCACCCAGGGTACGGTCAGACAAGAAAGAAAAACCCCAGTAAGCACTCTCTTCCAAAACAATGAGTTTCCCTTCCATCTGCACCATGTAAACCTTGCCTGGAAGCAAGTTTCCCAGCAGTCAGGGTATTTTCTGAACTTAGCCAATAAAAGAATCAGAACCTTCTTGTCTTTCTGCTGATGGTGCCATGTACGTGGCCTCACCTCTCTGAATCAGTTTGATACTGCTGAGCAAACAGGCTCAGGAGTTCCTGCCATTTTCCCCTTCCTGGTGATGTGCCTTCCATGCCATGCCGCTGCTCCAGCGCAGTGCTGGGGAAATCCTGACTGCTGTGGGGAAAGGGACTGTCCCGGTTCCTGGTCCAGAGAGACGTGGAGCAAACGTGGCCTTGTTCTCCACTACAGCTTGGTCATTTCCCCTCGAGGAGTACAGAGGGGAAGGAAACATGGCCGTGAATCCCTGCTACACAATGGAGGTGGCTGTGTGACCAGGTCGGATCCTACAGCTTGGAGCCACAGGGAGGAGAAACAAGGGTGGTTGCATTACCACCAGAGAAACCCAAATGGCACAAAGCCATGTGATGGCAGCAATACTCGGGGTGCCACCAGCCCCATCACCAAGAGACAGTGCAGGGGAAGGGCAGGCAGCAGCTTTGGTACATTCACACCATTGTTTTCCAGACAGCACTGGTGCACTCAGGTAAAGCCCCATGTTTGCAGCATGTGTCAGGCCTGTTGCTTGCTGGCAGTCCTGCCACTTGCTTTATGGAAAACCTTCCTGCCCAAAGGCCAGCACATCGCACCCCAGTGCTGCTCCATCCCTGCAGACACACATCATGACTTTGCACGCTCTCATGCTGACGAGAGGAAAACAATAAGTCATTTCCAGAGTGTATGCTAAAAATACACGGCAGTGTATGAGTTGTTGCTTTCCGAATGACTTAGAACAACATCCAGGGGGAGTGTGCTCTCTGTTGTCTGTTGTCTAGCAATTTGTTTATGAAATACCACTGGTGCATCCAGCCCCGCGCCGGCTGCTAACACGAAGCCGGTTCTCGCCCAGCTGAGCGCAGTGTAAACGTGACCCGGCGGCGTGTGTAGGGTCAGGTACGGGGTGTTGGTGGCTTGTTGTGACACCAGGTGCTCGGGGTGAGTCAGGGCCCTGCAGACAGCACCGCTGTGCTCAGCCGGGAGGTGGGAGCTTTGTGCCCCATAGGGGTAGCTTGCTGCATGGCACCATGATGCATTTAGTATTTCTGTCATTTACCAGATTCAGAACCTTTGGTCAGAGTTTTATCCCTCTTTAGTGTTGGGAACATGTGTCCTGCGTGGCATCGTGGGCAGCACCTTGGGTTCTCCATGTCCTTGGACCTCAGCTTTGAGGAGGAAGGTCTGTGCCACCCCTTGCTATTCCCTCATGGTAAGCAGTGTGGAATTTTCACCCCTTTCAGAGCTCCAATATCAGACTTCATAGAAATTAGAAATCTGGTCTTGGTGAAACACAGCATGTCCTTTTGCCTGCATTCAAAAACAAAATAAAGCCCCAAAACTCAGTTTCAATGTTTGCTCTTCACTGGCGCCCGAAGATTCTCTGACATAAAGCTGCAAAGCTCTGGTGGTGGTAATAGTGCCCCTGGCATGAGCAGACTTCTAGAAGATACTAGAACAGGTGCCTCGATGTCTCATTTTGAAGTTCATGGGTATGGTTATGTGTTGTTATGTGTTGTTCCTCTTAAACGATGCTGCTCTCCCAGCATCAGTCTGCTGTTGTTTTGATGTGTGCCCTCTGACTTCCACCTATTTGGAAGGAATTTGTGTAATATGACTGCTCATTCACAACCCTCAGAAAAAGTTATAACAATGACTCATTTTTTTTTGCTAGCACTTCACATTTATTATCTCAACAAGAATTCAAGACATACATGCATGGGGCATATAGGGAGATATCTGGCCTCAAGAAAAACAAACCCGTGTTGATACATCATATAATAGCAAATGCTTTGGGGAAGCAACAAAAGGAAATGTGGGGAGGACAGTAGCAGGCTCATGTACTGGCACTGATCACTGGATACAGATGTTTTCCTGAGCTCACTGGATGCTGGCACTTGACAACCCTTGAAAAAACATAAAAACATTTCACAACAAGCAAATAGTCCTTACAGATCTAGGCAGAAAAACACTTGCACTGGTATTTCATGCAGATGCCCCCATCATAATGCATTTGTGAGGACACCTTTTCATTATTATGTTTTATAACATTTGTGTGTGCTACAGCTTGAATTATTGCCCAGGCAATACCCCGTTCCTAATTTCCTACAGAGTTTCAAAGCAGCATGCACGAAGCAGAAGACCTTTATCCAAATACATTTCAGCTCCTGCTGTAAAATGCTGTGCACTCCCGAGCCAGGCACAGCCTGTGGGGTGGCACCAGGCCATGCAGCACTGCTGTTCCTATTGATTGTGGGGCAGGCAACCTTGCTGAGCAGCACACTGGTGTTTAACCAAAACTCTTTGCATTCGGTTTTTTTATACCTGGAAAACTGGTGTCTGTAGACGTCAGTGAAACATGTTGCTTTCCAACACGAAGATGAATTACAGCTATTGCTGCTCCTGCTTAGTGGTCATTACCAAGGAGCAGCAGCCTCGCACAGCTGGTTGTGGCAGAGCAAGCAAATCTGCGTCAGCTACGTCATGGCAGCTTTGCAAAGGCAGAGGCAGGAGAGCGAGCTGAAACACGCGGTATAAATAAAAACAGAAAATCACTACCAGGCAGGAAAAACTGAACTGGAATTCAGGAGGTGTAATTACGCACCCTTACACAACACAAATACAGTTGCATACCAAAGCAGAGCTCAGCTAGAGAAGCAAGCGCGTGGCCTTACCTGACTTTCTGTGCTACATCTCCTGAAGGAGATGGGTATTCTGTGCATCTCTGAACACTGATTAAAGAGGTAGCGACCAATGTCAACAGCTATGGCCGTTTTATTGCTAGTGTGTACCCTTGAAAGAACACTGTTCAGGAGCAAGACATGGCGTGCAGAGGTGGCACATGTCTGAGCTGTGAGCTTAGCGCAGTTCCTCTGCAGCCAGCAAGGGGAACTCCACGTTACAGCAGCAAATTGCCCCTCTCCGGGTGCTGCAGCAGCTCCTTTTTCCGGAAACAAAATGAGGGTGCAGTGAAACAAAAGAGAAAGTGCAAGGGAAGGATCTTCCCTTAAAGAACGATTAAAGATTGCGGCTGCTTTCCCGTACTGACTGTAACAGTCCGTTTCATGATTTCTTCAAACAGAGGCAGCTGCCTTCCTTGAAAAAATGACAATCTGAAGAAAATTCGAGTTTTGACTCAGATCCAACTTCATGGTGTATTGATAAGTTACTGTGCTACTTAGAAAAACACACAGCGGCGTTGTATTGCCATCAAGAACTTCTTTTCAGTGTTGGAAGAAACCTTCCGCTCAACGCACAAACCTCAATATCAGTATTTGAATAACATACATTCGTATCACTTATTTAATGATTACATTACATTATGCTCCCCTCTGTAATGCGAGAAGTACTTCCTGCACAATCAGAAAACATAATGCTTTCTTCTGGCTAATATGAAGCATCTCCATCATGTTTTGAGCATTTGTTCGTACTACTCTTTGAGCCTAAAGGAGTAGCATTCACTTGGCAGTTCTGTGAAATACTCCTCTCATACAAGGGGGCTACACATATTTATATTTTATGTATATGTAATTGTTGTATGCAAATATGCAAAATGTATGCAAATATATACATATATATAATATATAGACTAGAACTATGCAATGTCACGTTAATTCACAGAATTGCAATTATTTTTTTTTTTTTTATCCCCAAAGCCACTTGCTACAGCAAATAACCTTTAAATTAAGGCAGTGGTTTTAATGAACGGACGAGATATCCCCAGCACCACCACTTCCCCGTCCAGCAGAATCCAAGCTGTAGAAGATAAGAGCAGTCAGAACTTCAACACCGGCTTTCACCTCGCGATTCGTGCCCACGTTCCACAACCCTGAGTTCTTTGCTTCGGAACCTTCTGTCCTCAGCTCCTGGGTGGGATGTGGGATGTGAAGGCAACAAAGGAAGCAGGGTTGTCAGAGGGTTCCCCAGCCCCGAGAAGAACAAGTTCCAACCTGTCCCCACCACGGCGTAGCGAGGGGCTGTTGCTCATTGCTTTATTATTTTTTTTTTTTCCACTTGGCATCCACAAAGCATAATAATGCTGTAACACTTCCCAAAGAAATCGCGTAGCGACAGCCATCCTTCGGTGGCTCCAGGTAGCAAAACACAAGTCAAAGAGCTTTCTTCATCTCCCAGTGTAAGTGAAATCTCTCGTTCCAGATCTGCAAAGCCGAAATCTCCCCTTTTTTTTCAGCACCGCGGGCGCGGCCGCTCACGTTTTGGGGCAGAAGAGTTTCGCGATGAGGTTCAGGACCTTCTGCCGTAGGTCCGCCTTGTCGCCGATCCTGCGCAGCTCCAGCGCGCACTCAGCCACCGCGTCCCGCTCTGCAAAACACGCGCAGGGCGATGGGGATTTAATTCTAACGAGGTCTTTTCCAGACAGCGATATCGGGGAGGGAAAGAAGACGGTAGAGAAGAAAAAGGAAAAGAAAAAGGGAAAAGCTTGCTTTTTTCCAGTATCAACCCCCGTAAAAAAATTGAGACCCGCCTCCCTTCGCCTTTCCCTACCTGCAGGCGCGGCGGGCGGCGCGGGTTTGCGAATCGTCCTGCCAGGCATCATCGCGACAACAGCTCCGCACGGTTCGACGCGGTTCGGCTCAGCACCTCGCGGTTCAACGCGGGTCGGCGGCGGCGGGCGACTGCGGGCAGGCGGGGCGAAGCGCGCCCTAAGAGCGGAGCGCGGCGGGGTTTTCCCTTTTTCGTGACGTAACGAACAGCGCGGGAATCCCTCCCCCCTCCCCCCCCAGCCCCACCTGTGGCGGGAGCGTGTCGGAGCGCGCCCGGCTCGGTGGCGGCGTGCCGAAGTAAAGCGGGGTGCGGAGCGTGGAGGGATGGGGAGCGCTGGGGGAAGGGGTGGGTATGAGGGATGGAAGGCTGTGTCTTCTGGCAGGGAGAGGAGGAGGGAGGTGTGCTCGCGTTAAAAAAGAGTAGAGGGATGCGGTGCAGTGCATGGGCAGTGAGGGGTGGAAGGATGGAGTGTGCTTGGCCCGGAGGCACGGAGGAGTAGGATGTGCCTGGGCAAGCAGCAGCCAACCATCGAATGTGCCTACGGTGGGCAAAGCGACGCGAAGCCACCTCTGCCTGCTGTAAGCCAGCAGGTACTCCTGGCACCGTTTTCTAAGGTTGGTGACCTTGTCCTCAAACCAGGTGGAGCAAAAGGGGCTGAGCCACGCCTGCAGCTCGGGGTCCTCTCCTGCTGCTGGACCCGCACACAGTGCCCGGGCAGCCCCGGCAGCCTCGGGTGCTCACCTGCAATTCCAAGTTGTGCTACACGGAAGAAAAGCTGAAATTACCGCGTGGCCCTCGTGACTTTGTGATTGTAGCATACTTTTGGGAGAGCTGCCAGGGGTCTGTGAGTCATCTGTCTGAAGTATAGTTTGGTGCGATGGCTGTTTGTGTTTACACGAAAACGAAAAAAAAAAACAGAAAGAGAGCAAGAAGGGCTGGACATAACAAAGAGCTGATTTGTGGTTGGGCGCAGTGCGTACCCACCTTTCCCACTGCAACACTACGAGCAGGAAAAGACACTGCAACAGGGCGGCCAGAATACGCTTCCCTGTGGGATCAGAGCCTCTGGGGCAGGTGTCCACAAAGCTGATGGCTTTGCTGTCTGCAGGAAGAGGAAACTTCACCAACTCAGCTCAGAGCCCCTTTTCCCTGTTTGTCTCGGGGCGTCCTGATGGAATCCACAGCGAGAGGTGGATTTTGCACAGCTGAGACTGCAGCACCATGAGGTCACTGAGTAGCACATCAGATGTCAGGGCCCTCTGGCGCTTTCCTCTGTCTGAGAATGCATTGCCCTCATCTCTCACCTTTTGATATAAAACCTCCATGGTATATAGGCTTATTGGCTAGACGTGATGTTTTTAGGGTCATTTCGCATCCATGCCAACATGTGTGTTTGTAATACAGGCCCATACGGGGAAAGCTGCCCTTTGACCTTTGACTCCTGCTATGGGAGAAACTCTCTCCAAACAGGTCTGTTGGGTTTAGGTGGTGGGGAGGCAGCAAACAGCCCTGGGGTGCAGCACCCATGTGGTGGGTATCCCTTGGGCAGCACTGTGCACTGCTCACAACCCCGTGAACAGTGGTGCTCAGCAGCTTCAGCAGCACAGGGAACAGGGACACACCGACCCTCTGTGTTTTCCTCCCCACAGAACAAAAAGTGAGGAAGAGGAAGAGAGGGGCAAAGCATGGAAAGGAGAATTGGTTGTGAGCATTTAGTTAGCTCGTTTAGGCAGAGCCAGAAACAATTTGGTCTTGCTCTCCTGAGTAGATTTGGAGAGAGATCTACTACTCAAGCATAAAAACCAGGGCCCCTCAATCTCGATATATCATAGAATCATGGAATCACTGAATGGCTTGAACTGAAAGGGATGTCAAAGCCCCCCCAGCCCCAACTCCTGCCTTGGGCTGGTTGCCTCCCACCAGCTCAGGCAGCCCCATCCAGCCTGGCCTTGAGCACCTCCAGGGATGGGGCACCCTGGGAATTCTGCGCCAGGACCCCACTGCTCTCTAAGTCAAGAATTTCTCCCTAGTAGCTAATCTAACTCTATCTATCTCCCCTCTTTTAGTTTTAAGCCCTTTCCCCTTGTCCTATCAACTGTCAGACTGCATAAAAAGTCAGTCCCTCTTCTGCTTATAATCTTCCTTCAAGCACTGGAAGGCCACAGTGAAATGTCTGAGCAGCCTTCTCTTCTCCATGCTGTCAACACCAGCTCTCTCAGCCTTTCTTCGTAGAAGAGATGCTCCATTCTCCAATCTGCCCAGCTTAGCAAGGCTCCCTTGCCAAAAAGGGGAAGAGCCTTTAGAGGTAGCTCATCCTACTGCCCCTGAACAGCATCAAGAGACAGACTCTTCTTTTGGACATAAGCAGGAGAGGAGATGCTTCCCCCTGCCAGAGCAGCGGGGCACAGATCAGTGGACTAGCTGATTGGCAAGGTTCTTTTATATCTTTTTGTTTCTTGAGAACAGTGGTAGGGCAATAAGAAGAGTGAGAAACTTCAGTGTGCAAATTGGGTTAAGAGGCCAGAGCTCCTGCAGTGCTCACCTCTGCATGCCCTGCCACTGCAGCCCTCCTACGTGCAGGGCAGGGAGCCCACTGCACAGGAGGAGCTTGCTGGGTGCTGGTGGACAATGAGGCTGTGGCTACAGGGCCACTCTTTGCTTTGCACAGTGTGGCAGAGTGAAAAATAGCCTGTTGTGGTTACAGACTGCCAATGAGCTCTGACATGTTCGGTTTCAGTTCCTCTAAACAAAGCAGCATGGCTGTGGGAAGAGCAGTGCCCCAGCAGGCTGCTCTTTAGAGTGGGCTTGAAAGCTGGGGGGCCATGGGACTCCCACGGGCACAGCCTGGGGAAAATGGGTGGGAGCAGAGGTGAGCAGCCCTGCACCTCAGAGACATTTTTCTGCTTATCAGCAACTGAGGATTGAGGGATTATGCAGCTGGGAAAGGAGAATCCCAAGATGCAGTGCGTGGAGCCGTGCCGGTGTCAGGCATTGCGGTCTGAGCAGCACTGGGGATCAAGAGCAGCGCGTGACCAACCTGCGGCATGACTAATGCCAGCGGGCAGATGTGATGAAAGGAAAACGAATGCTGCAGAAACGAAAACGAGCAGGAGTGAAAGGAAAGCGAGCGTTTTTTTTCCTCTAAACTTTAATGCTTGTGCTGAATCAGCTTTGAGCAGTGCCTCTCTATAAAATTAAATAAATCATTGTGACTGCTTTTTTACAAGAATCCTTCGCTATTGAGTCCTGCAGCGCGGTGCTGGCTGCTCTGCTCACCAAGGGGCTGTGTGCTGCTCTCTCCCTTCCTCTTTCTGCAGACTACATCTCGGCGGCTCCTGCAGTGAGTGCTGGAGCAGGAAGCAGAGCTGCGCTGCCAGGGCTGTGAGGCAAAGGTCATGTGGAGCGCAGTGGGTGCAGCCATGCCAGTGCACAGTGGTGGTTGTGTGCTGGGCTCTGCAGGCCACCAGGTTTTTTTCACTGCTGAAATGAGTCTTCCTATTGGTTCCTCTTAGCTGTCCTGCTGGGCTGGCTCTTGCTGTTAGGAGTAAAATCATGGAATAATGTAGGCTGAGAAAGGCCTTCATGATCCCCAAGCCCAACTATCAGCCATTACCTACTGAGTCCCATCCCTAGGCCACATCCCTTAATGCCGTGTCCATGTGTTTCCAAGAATGGGGACACTACCTCTGCCCTGGGTATTGCCTTCATCCTCTCTTTTCACATTGCAGAGCCAGGGGCTCCCCTGCATTTCCACAACCACAAAGGAAGATGTCAGTGCAGATTTACCCAGTTATGTGAAATGATTAATTCCTCTTTGAGTTGCTGGAGTGATCTGGCATCAGATAAAAAATGAAGGAGAACTCCACTTGTACCCAACTTATCTGCTGTTTAAGTATTACCTAATTTCCCTACCACTAACCATAGACCCTCCCTCCTTTGCTGTTTTCCTTGCCTGCTTTCCTTGGAAGCTCAGCCATGTACTTCCACAAGATGAACACCTTGTTCATGTACAGCAGTTCTCTCCCACTGACAGGTGGGTGAACACCTATCTTCTCCATGACCACCTGTATGCCAAGCAAGCTGCATTCATTTTTGGGGGGGTGAAAAATGCTTCTGAAGGATGAGTGGAATGTTTCTGGCCTGGTGCTCACTACAGGCAGGGCAGTTGTCCTGCTGGCAGCAATAATGTTTGGTTGAGGATGTGGTTGGGTGCCAGAGCCACTCCTCAACATGTCTGGAGAGAAAGGGAGTTTATATTGAGTGTGTGCTCTTTGATAAAGCAGTAACTGTGAGAAAAGTGGGCCGATATGAATCAAATGATGTTCAGTGAGGCCAAGTAAAAGGTGCTGCCCCTTGATCGGGGCAATCCCAGGTATGTGGACAGACTGGGAGAAGAATCCCTTGAGAGCAGCCCTGCAGAGGAGGCCTTTCACGTTCTGGTAAATGAAAGACTTAACACGAGGCAGCAGTATAAGCTTCCAGGTCAGAAGACCAAGAGTATCCTGGGATGTATCAACAGAGGGGTGGCAACAGGGAGAGGGAGGAGACTGTTCCCTTTTGCTCTGCCCTCATGAGGCCCCATCTGCAGTACCACATCCAAGTCTGGGACCAACACAAGAAAGGTGTGGAGCTGTTGGAGTGGGGATAGAGGTCCACAAAGATGCTGAGAGTATGGGACACCTCTTTTATGAGGAAAAGCTATGGGAACTGATCTTGGACATCCAAGAGAAGGCTTTCAGGAGATCTTACTGTGGCCTTCCATTGTTAAAAGGGAGATTATAAACAGGAAGGGGACTAACTTTTTGCAGGGACAAATTGTGATAGGACAAATTAGAACTGTTTCAGACTTAAAGAGGGGAGATTCATGATAGACATTAGGGAGAATTTTTATACACTGAAGATGTTATGGCACTGACACAAGCTGCCCAGAGCAGCTGTGGATGTCCCATCCCTGGAGGTGCTCGGGGCTGGATTGGATGGGGTCCTGTGCAGCCTGAGCTGGTGGGAGGCAGCCAGCCCACAGCAGGGTTTGGGGCTGGGTGGGCTTTCCCATGGCTTTTTCCCATAGCTTTCAGGTTATGCCTTTCAGGGATTCTATGTTTCCATGATTACTTAGTTGACTGAATTTCCTTGAATTTTCTTAAATTGTTATGTTATCAGTTCTAAATTTCCCAAGTGCAG